TCAAGTGTCAATTTACGTTTCTGTCGACCACAATCATTCTTTCCCAATGGGGTAGCTTGACGCGAGCGGTTACGCGCTCTACGCGCCCTCCGGCTTTGTGACGTCATTGATTTTTGGCATTTTTGGCTGTTGCCGCACACGTAATAAGTCACCTCATCAACTACGCCGGCGAAATGCTATTTTCGCGTACGTGACGCAGATTTTAAAACTTTTCATCGTGCTTTGCGTTTTTTTTCAAGAAAAAAGCCTTCTAGAATGAGAATTAAAAATAAATGTTCGACCTTTAAACATTCGCTTTTCTTAGTCACATATTCGTCTTATTTTTGGCATGACGTGCGTTGTAATTAACGTGACTAATTGAAATAATTAAGTTAATATTTTTATTTTCGCTAATAATTAGCAATTATGTACATATGTTTATTAAATAGCATATAATACCCTGTGAAAGCACAACTAGCCATATGTACAGTTTTCGGTGTTTAGTATTCTGCTAAATAATTTTTGTTATAACATTAGATACTTCAAATAAAATAATATAATATAAAGGCTTATTTCTTATAACTTAAATTCTGGATTTGAATCATTATTGAATAAATTTAATCACTTCACAAAAGATTTTATGAAAACCGTCAGGACGTTTAGGGAGAGTTTAATTAGTAACATGCCAACAGTATAATACATTATGCATATATAGAAGATCTTTTTCTAAAATGTATCCTATATCAATACATAATTTCTTAATTTTTCTACATTATAAAATACAAGTACAACCAATGATATTATTTGAATATCAAGCGTAACTTGTCAATTCTTATATTACAATTGTTAATATGATAGGCTAGCTAGGCCTTGGGCAAGCCTAGGGCGGGACACAAAGGTTTAATTTGACTTTAGAAATACATCACAGCATAACACGCTAATAAAACAAGCAACTATCGAACTATGTTCAACGTTTTCCCATTTAATTCAATATTATAGGAACATGTATTTTTTTATTTAATTTTTTTACTTTGTTATTTGTCGCTTTTGCCCCATAGGCTAAATAAAAAAGCACAATCGGGGTTCAAACAGATCCATTGTCTTAATATAAACTTTAAAGGGATTTTACGAAATAATAGCTACATCATTTAACCAATTCAAAATATAAATTTAATTTGCACATTTTTTACAAAGATCACACTGTACATAACCTTGATCTGGTATTTAGTCAAATATATTTATCATCAGAGTTGAAATAACTATTAATTCAATTTACTTCTTGTAAAGTTGTTTTTTAACTCTGTTACTTTTTATTGCTTTTTTTATTGATTACACCGTTACAAGGGTCAAGTTTATATAAAAGTAACTGTCGAATATAACTTAAAAATAACAATAGCTACATCTTATAAAACAGTAAAATAACATATACTTAAAAAATATAAACTCGTAAACTAACGAAAAAAACTAACAACAAACGAAATTATTTTTGTTATAGATTTTAAAACATTGCAATCGAAGGCGATGACAGATTAAATATTTTTTTACCTCTGCTCAAATATTGTTATCACAAAATTTTTAACTTTATTTGTTTTTGAGATATAGGTGGTGGACCTTTTCATCCTGGAACTTTTAAGTCTTGCTCTACCCAATTATAAAGTGCATGATAAAAATTTTTGAAAATATATTACACGATTATGTTAATATATCAACAAAAATTCACACAGGTTTCTCATAATTAAACTACATTTTTTTTGGATTTTTTAACCGAGCATTATGAATATTAGGTATTTTCTGTGTACGAGGTTTTTCGCACTAATAGTAAATAATATTGAGATTTATATCAACCGCACAAAGAATTAAGATATTATATGAATTAATTTAATCTATAGTGTCAAAATATACAATACTTTGTAAAAAACAAATAATATTTCTGCAAAAGCCAGTATTTCAGTTTATTGTGTAATGAAAGAGAATAAAGCATACAAAAAATATAAGGAATCCTTTCATATGTGATAATGTTCGTCGAGTTTGCTGGTTCGCGTCGTTGAACTCGGACCTCAAACAATAAAACGACTGGTCATTATATTTATCACAAGCGAAGGCGTTATACAAATAGAATTTTCTAATAATAAGAACAGAATTAGACGGAATTACTCAGCTGATTTATTATAACCACTATTTGATTTGATTGCTATTGAACGTAAATATTTAATTGAAATTTTCTCTTGACCAAGCAATTTTTTGAATAAACGAATATTATCATACCCGGTACATCTTCAATATTAAATGACTACATTAGTGCAAATATTGTCTAGTATAATTATTTTAACTCTGTCTTCGTGAAAAAAAGTTTCATGAGATTGATATAAATATTGTCCAGTTGTAAGTAATTCTTCTTTTCATATTCTGAGGGAATTGTAACTTTTAATTTTTTCTTATTTACTAATGTATGTACTTTTTTGGAAATTGTTAACCAGATTTCCTCTTCACAAACAAAAATCTACTGTTTATTTTATTTTCTTACTTATTTTACTGTGCAAATAGTTAAACAATATACCTACAAGTAAAAGTTTATATTATATATATAAGTCAAGCATATTAGATTGGCGAAAAAGAAAACCATTATTGTTTTGATAGATGGATGTACTGATAGATTTTTTGAAAAGTATAGATCAAACAATTTCAGATTTATGCTCGCTGGAAAGGAGACATTTCGCAGCAAAAAAATTCTTTTGCTGTTTTTGTTTGGTGCATTCAGTTGTGAATCACAGGTGTTAAAAATGGAAGTGAACAAGGAGAAAATTTGGTACATTTTACACATGTTCTTTGAAAAAGGCAAAAATGCAAGCCAAGCGGCTTAATCTGTGAATGGTGTTTATGGTTCCGATACTGTAATAGCCAATTATGCGCAATTTTGTTTTCGTAGATTTTGTTCAGGAATTTTTGAAAATGTCGATAAAATCGGAAAAATGATCGAATTTGACCGGCATGATAGCAGTCGTAAAGGCGCTAAAAATTGACTATAAAACAGTTTTAAATCAATAAACTAAATTTTAAATAAAAAATAAAAAAAATATTTTTTCCAACCTAATATATGTACAATACTTAAATATATATTTGTTTGTTTCTGCAGAAATTCACAATCAAAGTGAAGTATCACTTCTTTAAAGGTATTAATAATAATTAGTAATTTTGTTGTAAATTCTACTTTATTTTTTAGTTTGATCTCCACATTTTTAAGGAAATTTCTATTTTATTAAACTTTTAGTTAACGCGCACCTTTGTATTAGTAATAAAAATAATACCCACCTAAATTAGTGGACAGGGATAGAGAACAAAGTTTCCAGTTTCGATACTCGCCTTAGGGAGCTTGATGTCATGCAGTAATGGCATTGGTTGTCACTTGACAAATAGAGAGCAATAAGTTTCCCAGTGAAAATAATCGTTGGTCGACATTTTTGCATCTATAAAAAATTCATCACTATTGATAAAAATGCATTAATACAATTTATATCATAAAGTTAGGACTGTTTGGGTTGTCATCCATAAAAACCTATGTAGTTCGTTAAGTTAAATCAAAACAACAGCTTATATTGCCCTTAAGCTTATACAGCTTATAAGTTTCCATCGCTATTCAAATAATTAAAGAACAAAAAACTATAAATATTATTTATATTATATATTTTGCCAAATTTTTGATAATAATTGCTTAGAACCCGATTAGCATTTCAAAAATTGTACTTGTTTATTTGTTTAAGCAGAATTAATTTTATATGAATATTCTTATCTATTTCTCTCTTTTCTCGCGAGTATGTATTTAAATTGCATCGTTTTATTTATTTGCTTAGAGATAATAAATTTCTTTTTACGATAATCGTATTTTGTTATGATATGACAAACTCACCGTAAAACAAACGGGAGCATATGGTGTAGTGATATACGATCCGTAGTTGTAATGCAAATAAATAAGATATATGAATATCATTGAGCATAAAACGCAAAGATGTCACATAACTCTACTGTGGCATATCTGATACTGAATTTGAATACAGTGTTTGTTTCAAATAAGATATAGTGTAGAGCGGGGTTTAAAGGTCCGCGGGTAAAAAGATCCACCACCTAAATCTCAAAAACGTAGTGAAAAAGTAAAGTTCAGCATTTTTTTAGTAACTGAGTATTTGAAAGTAGACGGAAAAAGATGTATAACCAGTCATCACTTTGATTCTTACGACCGCGCTATCAGGCGATAGACGGCAATGTTTGAAAATCCATGACAAAAGTATATTTTTGTTGTTTAGTTTAAGAAACCTAGGAAATAATTTAATTAATTACTTAATTAATTTTAAGTTAGATTCAACTATTTTTTTATAACCTCTCTAAAAGCTTGCACTTCATTATGGTGAATGGATCCAAATAATCTTTTAAAATGGCATGGATGTGACACATAAAAATTTAAAAAAAAAGTAAATTAGGTTAAATAAAACAATTTTACAAAGATAAATTAAATAAATAATTATTTCAACTCTGCTGATAAATATATCTGACTAAATACCATATCAAGGTTATTTACAGTGTTACTCTTAGTAATAATTTTCTTAATTTTTTTAATATTATTAATAACAATAACAATATTATTTATATATCATATCAATATTTTTTAGAGATTACCGCAATAAATATTTCTGAGCAAAAATATTATAACTTAGTTATTGAGAAAATAAATTTAAAAGAAAAGTGTCCGGACAGTGTTTTAGAATATTTGAAAGCATACTCTGGAATTCCATGATTCAAGTTATTTAATACTGGTTTATTTTTAAATATAGATAACTTAAATAAACAATAAATGTGATTTAAAAATGCAGTTTAAATTGACATAATATAAATTTTAAAATTTTGTTTAAAAAATTGTGTTATATTGAGCTAATGTATTTACTATAATTTACTATATACTATATATGCTTCTATATAAATTTAAAATTCAAGAAATAAAACAATATATTTTATAAAAATATTTATTTCAGCGTACTGGCACGGTTTTTGGAGAAGATTTACCATTTGTGCTGGGTTTGCCAGGACCACCGTTGTTTCCTGCAAACTCAACTGTTCAGGATCGTCAAGTTGCTGATTTATTTATACAATATCTCGCCAATTTTGCACGTACTGGGTATGTAAAACCATCACATTCAAATATGTTGATAATTCAGTTTACTCATTTTATTATAACTGTATTTTTAATCAAGGAATCCCAACGGTCCGTCCACTGATTCAAGACCTGATCACACATCGCCTCAACCATATTGGGACTCCTATGATACAATTAATCAACTATATCTCGAATTAGGTAAGTTTTTGTAGATTTTTCTCAATTGTTTTAATATTACATAAGATTTTATAAGTTATTTTTATGTTTTATAATAATATGTGAAAATGATGCAGTACGATTTCATTTTTATTGTAATAAAGTGTTATATAATAATATATTATATACGCAAGCAGTGTGCGCTGCAAGGACGTAGCTTTTATACCTGAACTAAAAGTTTATACAAGTCTGCAAGTAGTTAAATAATATAAGTAGTATAATAAGATTTATTATAACCATAAATCCAAGTGAAATCATTCCTTAAATAAGCACATTGGATAAAGATCATTGAACTACCCGCATGAAACATTATAGTAGATAATGGCAAAAAATCGAAAATGAAAGTTTTGCATATTTATGTTTCATGTGTTTTTGATCATTTTGGCATAGTTTAGAAAAAAATAATGTATGTATGGATACAGTTTTTCGTCTTGAGCACGGATCAATGGTTTTGATTGGTTTAAAAAACATTTGATTCCTTCTGACTGGGAGACCTAATGGTTAGTTTTATGTAAAGGCAGGTCTAACCTTTGATATTTTGAAGATGCGGGGAAAAAACGCAAAAAATGGCTATTCAGTTTTTGAGAAAACGGAGCGTCCAATTGGTACGGTTATCCAACGGAGTTTTTGATTTGATTTTGAATTTGATAAATACTAGGAATGCCACCACTTAAGCTGCAATAAAAAAATTGGTTCATAAATTATTCTTATGTGTAATTTGAATCCTCTGAGATTATGCAATGGTACCCATTCGATTATCAGGAAGATAACAGAAAATCCAATTGAAACAACGATTTTAAAGTAAATGAGAAGTATTTTAAAAGAGAAGCGATTATTCTACCGCGGATTCCAATGACACCGTCAGATTTTATCATACAATTCAATACGTTACAATTTAGCATTTTCCAAAACCATGAACAAATCTCATGGTCAAACAATGCCTTAAATTTAAAATATCAATGTATTTTACAATTATATGTGTCAAAACCGAAAAATTAATTTGTGCTGGCTAAAGAAAGTTTAGTCAGAAATATTGTGCATCAATTAGTTTTACTTTAATTTTATAATGGCATTATTGCAAAATAATAACTGAATGAGCCATTAAATTTAAAATTAAAACGTATATAATTATCAATATAAAAAATAAACAGATAAATTTAAAGATAAAAAATGACAGTAAGAAAAAGTATACTATTAACAAAGATATTTTCAACTAATCATATAAAAATATTATATATATATATATATATATATATATATATTAAACAAAATTAGATATTAATTACATTACAAATTACAAACAAAGAATTGAAAAAAAAAATTCACAAAAATTTATTGGTTGAATATGGTATTCCCACTTGAAAAATATTAATTCAAATATAGAAACATTTCGATTATATACGAATTATTTATATAAAACTCAAGGCAATAAATAAAATATGTTGTATTTCAATTTAACGAACATATGTTTATGGTCAGGGGCAGTAGCAATAGTACAATATACAACTGGTTGGATCTGGACTTGGAGTTGAACAAATTAATTTAGAAAATGTACTGTATAATTCTTGAACACGTCTTTTAATTGATTTACATTTATGAAACAATATTTAAAAAATATTACAGTCAAAAAATATAGAGCGCAATAAAATATTGATTAATCAAAGTTATATTAATCATATGCTATAGATATGTGTAAACATCATAAACCGTATAATATAAACAAAAATTGAAAGAATAAATATAATATTTTTGATAATTTATTAAAATAATTTTATGTGAATGAAATAATGAGACATACGTAAGTGTTCAAAAATAAAATATTTTTTCACAAGAAATATTCAACTCTTATATATAATATATGAGTTATTTATAAACGCTAGATATATTTACATATCTTTTCTCTTGTATCTCGTATGTGTCTTTAAATTTAAATCAATTACTCGAACAACCTGTTCAATGTAGACATACATAGGAGATGTCGAATATGATCAAGCAAATGTGCAGTTGTACCAGCGCTGCGGACCTAAACACAGAAGAAACTCCCGAGATAAAAAGTACGAGCAAAGTAACCACCTTTGCCATGTAAAAGAAAGTCCCCGGGGGCACTAGGGATGCAGATATCTATTTTATGGGTGTCACATGACGCAGTAAGCCGTAAAAGTGTTCAGGGTTTTTATGCGAACACAAGTTTTATACTTCGATCCAGTCAGGATAGTGTCGCTCAGGAACAAGTGAAGATCATTGAAGAAGTTGCATGAACTCAGTCGATGGGAAGACGGAGAGGCGACGGAGCAATCAAGATAAGAATGCTCGAACGATCCGGGCTTAAGAGCATTGCACAGGGAATATTGTTCCGACTTGATCCGCTTTTCTATTTTGTTACATTGGAAATCATATTGATTATTAATTAAATTAACGTACGTCAACCATTATACAATACTTTGATCTAAATCTTTACCCCCACACATATAGGTGTTTTAGTGTTTTAATGGGTATGAATACTTAAACATTTGACCTTGCATTGATAATCTAATTAGAAGCATATAACAACAAAATTTATATTTAGTATTATGTTTTGATTTTACTGATGAAGGTTTAATGATATTTATGGAAAATCACTAACCGGCAGATCTGTATCACCTGACGTAAAGGTGAAGTATTTTTACAAACAGACACAAAACATAAAGAATGTAAGATACACGGCGAAAATTAACATTAAGAAGATAAAAACAGTACTAACAAGCAAATCGAGTAAAAAACAATAATTATATTTGAAATTTATAAATTACATAGGGGAAAGTTTCCGAGTGCCGGACACCTAAGGTTTTTTATAAATAAATCAAAAAAATATTTTACGAAATGTATTTAAATTATGACTCATGTTAGATAATAAAGTTAAAAATCAAACTAAATTAACAAAAACGCAATTTTTGCTAAACAATAAGTAATACTATCAATCAAACTTTGGTAACAAAAGATATGATTTTACAAAGTGGCACCTAGTACGGACATTTCAAATAACTAGCATTGAACACATATGGAGCCATCTCCGCACTCTGGAATGTCTGCACATTTGTGTTTGATAAATCTTCAGATATTGCAAAAAAAATCAATAATTATCCACCCTTTTGGCTGGGCCACACCGATGTTCTCAGCTGGAGCATTCATCATAAGATTTTCATTTTTTGACTAAAAAATACCAAAAATGGAGGTATGCAGGGACCGTTAGCACTCATACAGAACAAAATTAAATAATTAGAATAAATTACGTCAATTCTCACAAGAAATATCAATATGTTTACTGTCGGCACTAAGGGACGACTTAGTGTCCGGTGCTGAGGGACAGACATTTCGTTCATTGATTGCACCTACTAAAATTGGTTTAAAGATCTAATAATATTCTACATTTTACGGATATCAATCAAGTACAACTTTTATTTTGTATGCCACTTAAATATAAATGCATAAATACACATACAATTACTTCCATTGAATTTAGGTGACGCCGTGTTTTTGCGCTTTTCCGATTTTTAGTGATGTAGGCAAACAACGGCTTAATAATTAATAATTGATAATTTAATAATAGTTAATAATTTTCACTTCCAAACATACAACTTACACTCGATCGATTCATCTGGCAATCATAAACAATTAAAAAAAAGTGTGTTTCTAAGCACTATCGTCAAATCAAAAGTGTGCAGCAATGAGTTAATCATATATTTCTACGGATCACTTATATGAAGAAAGGCAGATAAAAACTGCCTAAGAATTTCGAGATTTGGTGCTGTTAATGATTTTCAAAAATAAAGTGGCCTGGTAAGGCAAGACATGAAAAAATATTGCGGGAAAGGCAGAAAAATAACTAGAACTGAAATTATTATTTATTATTAATCATTTTTTTAAAAACACAACGCTACTGGACTAGGCTCATATTAGGAAATTAATGGCTTTGACATGACGCCATTAGAAAGAAACTTAAACGACTAATGTCAGAATTGACTGCACAGCAACCACATAGAATTTGTTAGTTAGTTTTTAGTACCATTTTGTATGAACGTACGAGCTTATCATAGCCTTGTCATAACGTTGGTCTACTTTTCAGCAGAATTTTTCATTTTAAAACCGGATTACCGGTAAATTACCGGTATTTTTATTATCTTAAACAAACGTAAACAAAATTGAAAGTTACTAGTACAAATATAAAACTAGTGGGGTGGGGGTGGCATCGTGCCTTAAGGCAAATTGCTGGAACTTCCGTACCGTAACGAAATGTTCGAGGAATACTGAATGTTTTCAAAAATAGATATTATAAATATTGTAACATTGTCTAATATTTATAAGAATTATATAAACTGAATTGCAAAGTTGAAATTATTTGTTTCAACAAAAAACTAAAAAAAAAAAAAATCGAACAAAAATTTTTTTTCCCAAAATCAATTATTTTGTTAAGACAAGCAGAAAGTTTTTGAATCATTCAAATCGGACGCTTAGTTCTCTCAAAAACTGCCATTTTTAGCTCCGTATCTTCGAAATATTTAGCTCCGTATCTTCGAAATGGCTGGTCCTGCCTTTGCCAAAAACTAATAAACACTTCTCCCAATCATTACTAATTGAATGTTTTTTAGATCATTCAAATCGGATACTCCGTTCTCTCAAAAATTCGATTTCTATTTTCCGCTCTTTGCTCCGTATCTCCGAAACGGCTGAACCTGCCTTTGCCAAAAACTAATCAGCTCTTTTCCTATCAATAGGAATCGAATGTTTTTTGAACCATTTAAATCGGTTGATCCGTGCGCCCTAAAACGTGACTGGAAATTTGTATCCACACATACATACACACACACACACATACACACACACACAACACATCCATTTTTTCTGAGGTATGCCAAAATGTTCAGAAACCTTCAAAACGTCGAGAAATGTAAAAATTTTCAATTCCGATTTTCGGCCCATTACAATAACTTACCCTACGGGAAGTTAAAAATGTATATACAACTACAACTATATTCAACTATATTAAACAATAAAAACAATAAAATAACACAATAAATTTTTTCAAATAGTAATTTAACAAAATTATATACAATTTAATTAATTTATTATCACTATCGAGTATATTGAGTACTTTTCACAAAAAACAAACTTATGAGTAAGAAAGACCAAAAACTCATGAAAGATCATATTACATTATTATAATAAACAATATTGTCTGTATCAGATGTGTTAAACTGGCATAATCTCCAATATTTAAAAAAAAATTCTACAATAATTTAAGATCGGATACTTTGTCGAGATAAATAATAATTTACTATAATTGTTGAGTATTGTTATTTAAAACAATGTGATGCTTCTATAGTATTTTCAACCTTCGAAACGTTTTTCAAAAATAATATTTTATAATTGTAATAAGAAGCAAAAATATTTAGTAATTATCATAACTATTATGCATAAAGTTAGAAAAAAATAGAGATTACGCAGGGTTAATACACAAAAAATAGAGATTACGCAGGGTCATTAAAAAACTGTTACATTTTTACATAAGATGAAACAAACATCATTATCTATCAGTCCAATTCTATTTATTGTAACACGATATGTAGCCCTTAGTAAAGCAATAAATATTAAGTTTAATGACGAGTTCAGATAATATTTGACATTTGTTTATCCTATAGAATCACTTGAAGATATAGCTGTTTATGCGATTATAAAATTTAAAGATAAATTTGTTCCGAGAAATTTCAACTTTAATGTATTATGTATCAAATAGCGCTTATGTAAAAATACCGAAAATACCGGTATTTTTGGGGTAAATGCCGGTAAAAATACCGCCGAAAAATCGGGCGGTTTACCGGTAATTTGGTATACCGGTATACCGGTATTGCATTCCCTATTGTGCATTATTCATAGCAGTTTGTACATGCACATGTTTATTAATATGTTATAAAAACATAATTTTGTTTTGTGCTTATTATATTTTAAAAAACAAAAACAGTAACTGGAATTTATTTGTCGTACTAGTATTACGTCTCAATAAAACAAAAGTGATTGAAGTATCCAAATTTGGATTGCAGGTGGTCCCGGCTTGGTGAGCAGCGTTCGTACGCATTACCGCGGCCACAAGCTCTCGGCATGGCTGTCGCTAATTCCGCAGCTGCATGGAAATGCTGCAACTATGTCCGACTTGCCGCCGCGTCATCACCATTTCAGGGAAGAGGGTCCGCAGTATTATGATGGTGAGTTTGGAATTATAACAGTTATGCAAATTATGAAAGATAATTGCAAATAATAAAATTACGTAGCTATGTTTTTGAATGCAACTGTGAAATGTTCAATGTCAAATATGTGGGCGTCAAATATACACAAATGATGTTATTTTTTAATCTTATTATATAGGAATATTTTTGATATTACAATATCAAAATTTTTACTTATATTTATCAATAATTTTATACAAAGTATTTTTATAATTAAACTACTTAGTGTAAGCTTAGCTGTAGGCTGCACCTAATTGTTATACTTATTAATCACACATATATTAATATGTTGAATTATCATCGATTATGTCAATTATTTACAAATAGCAGAAAGTTCATGCAACTTGCCTTAAGGCAAAATGGCCCTTACCTCTAGTAATATCTCGAATGGGAAGTTTATGTTTTTAACTTCCCGCAAAATAAGTTATAGTAATTGCAAAAAAATCAAAAATATAATTTCGTTTCAAAAGATTTTGAACATTTTGGCATACTTTAGAACAAATGAATTTATGTGTGTATGTATGTATGTGTGTATGGGTATGTGTGTGTGTACGGATACAAATTTTTGTCGACAATTTTAGGAACATCGATCAACTGATTTAAATATTTCAAAAACATTCGATTCGTATTGATGGGGAGACATGCTGATTAGGTTTTGGCAACGGCCGTTTTGAAGATACGTGGCAAAAAGTGCGAAAAATGGCTCTTCAGTTTTTGGGAGAACGGAGCGTCCGATTTGAATTTGTTTGAAGCATTTGTGTGTATTGACGAAAAGAGGAATTGATTAAATTCTTGGTAAGCTAGGGCCAGCGATTTCGGAAATCTAACAAAAAAGTAAAAAAAAATGGAAATCATTTGGAGATCAAAAATGACCATTACATATTTAAATCAACTTATCGGATATTTCAAAGAGATTTTAGTATTAAATACGAATTTTGTTTACATTTCTATGGGTCCCATACCAATGTTTATTTGTTAGATTCGCGGCGATAACGCGCTTTAATATTTTGTCTGTAGAACAGCTACACAACGCGATTGTTTGATAAAAATGTTCAAGATTTTCAAAAAAAATCTAATTTTTCAAAAAAGTCACATTTTTTCGAACATTTCAGTATTCTCAAAAATCCTTTTTTTTTCAAAGTTTTCAAAAAAAATATATATATACTTTTTAAATTTATTTTTTGGTACAGGATGTTTTAGAAATTTGCCTTAATGCACGATGCAATGCACAATTAGTTTTATCTTTATTTGAAGAATGTGCACAATGTAGTGTACATTTAATAAAATTATATTCAATTCTTTATTCTTCGCGTATAGTTTTGGAAAGTACTTTTAACTTATTGAATTTTTGACATAGTATTTTAAAGAATCCATGAACCACACATATACGTTGTTTTCTAAGATTCAAGTAGTAAATGTCATCATAACACAAAACTTCAAAACTACTAACAAAAGTAACAAACTTTTGCTATTGAGACTCTGACGATCAACTTACTCGAACTTGCTGATATGAGATCACTTGTCATATAACCCTTGGGTAACATTCGTAATAAGAAACATTTTAAAATTTTACGTTCATATCACAATGTATATTGTCTTGAACAGAATTTTGTGTATATTTATTACGATTTAATTATATTATATAATTATTCACGTATTCTTAGTAATTACTACTGCATTACGCTAATTATATAAAACATTCAAATCAAATTTTTGGTTTGTGACATCATTTATGCAAATTTATTCTATAATTTTTCATAATTATTTTTATTATGTAAAACAAACATCAAATATTAAAGCGATGTCGATTATCAATTTTGCAATATTATTAAATATATAGCATTTTAGGGCAATAATAATTAATAAATGCAATTGTATCCGACTAATTATGTTAGAGACTTTAAATTATTAACTTCCCGTACGATAAGTTATAGTAATCGCAAACAAATCGAAAAAAATTTTCATATATCTTTACGTTTCAGAGGTTCTGAACATTTTGGCATACCTTAGAAAAATAGATGTATGTGTGTGTGTAGACGATTTCGAGAACACGATTTGAATAATTCGAAAAGCATTCGATTTGTTTTGATAAGGAGACATGCTGATTAGTTTTCGGCAAAGGCAGGTCTAGCCGTTTCGATGAATTGAAAAGCCAAAAATGGTAATTCAGTTTTTGAGAGAACGGAGCGTCCGATTTGAATAATTCAAAAAACATTTTGTTTGTATTGACAAAATGAAGTACATTTTTGCAAAAGCAGGTCTAGCAGTTTTAGAGATCAAGTGTAAAATGTAAAAAACTGCCATTTGGCGATCAAAAATGATCATTAGACATATGCACTTCAAATTATCAGATATTTCATAGAGATTTTAATAATATAGGGTAAGATATTGTTTACATTTTTATGAGTTCTCATACTAATGTTTATGCGTTAGACTGCGATGCGCCGCTTTGCTTTGAAACAAAGTTCAATATTTTCAGTGAAATTAACAGTATTAAAAATTTGAAATATAAATAAGTCAAATTTCCAAAGTTTTCAAAAAATATTAAAGGTTTTTTTAAAAAAATAATTTTTGGTACGGGAAGTTCCAGCAATTTGCCTTAAGACACGATGCCATGCACCACTAATCAAAATGATTATTTGTCATGCAATGTAAATATTATAAACGGCATTAAAAAACACTTTAAAAAATTATTATTATTTTATTTCTTATTTTACAGGATCTGTACGTCCACAAAGTGTTTTTAAAAGCGCAGTACGTTCGACAAGCACCAAAGCTCCAGTCAGTACAACGCCGACGCCGAAAGAAGAAACACTACCACGCCTTCTACAGCAATTACCACAGGTAGAATTTCCTCTATAATGTAAGAAAAAATTAAGTTTAATGATGGTTATACGATTAACCCAAATTATGTTGATGAAGTAGAATATTTTTATTAAATTTACTAATGAAATTCTTTGCGGCCGATTTTTTTTCAATTTTTAAAAGCAATGCTGTCTGAGCATTGTATGATCATGTTAATGTAGGGCGCAGACGGAATGCAATAATGGAAACGTGTTTAAACAAACGTACTACATCCTTTTCCCTTTGGACCCTATGTCAAATTCAGTATATATTTCAGCTGTTATGGCGACTTTCACTACCGTATCCTGGTACAACCGTACCCAGTATTGCCTATTTTATTAATGAAAAGTGTATTTTGTCTACTATTAAGCTTACATTTCTCAAAGATTTTCACTTGATTTTGATAATTGTTTGCTTTACACTGGTTTAAACAAAAATAAAAATTTAAATAATTATTTATCCGCAAAGTTGTATATAAAATTCTGTAAAATTATACGGTATTTTATTTGGTAGCAATAATATCAATAATTTTTTTCTTTTTTTGTGGTGTGATATGTTTATGAAGCACAAAAAGCTTTTTGATTTAAAGCAGACTAAGAATAAATAGAAATTATGAACTATTTATATTACAAAACTCAAAAATGAATATGTTATTTCTATATGTTTTATATAGTTGCAATAATCTTGACGCTATTAATCTTATAATATAAGCTGGAATGTCCTTATTGATTACATCCATTATATGTGCTTTTTTTTCCACATTACGGGAAGTTCATGCAACTTGCCTTAAAATAAAATTTCACTTACAATCACCTAACACTTGGCTGCGGGTCGAAAATGTGTCGAAATCGCCTCAAAATAACTAACTAGTTAGTTATTCCTATCTATAAAAGAAAGGTCCAAAGAACAAAGGACACCACCGCCACTGAATTAGTGTTTTTACTTTTGAGTTTTCATTCATATCAATACTTTATCCATTAAAACACAATACCATATACATATTTGCAATAAAAATGAAACTATTTTCACTCTAGGTATAACTAAGAATAAGCTGTCTTCTTATCAAGCATCATGGTATTAGCAAGAGGCGATTATACTATATTTTCTTGCAAGTGTATTATTACTTTTAACCTCACAAATTGTTACAACATTTCTCACTCTGATAATAAATAAAAATAGGTGTCGACATTCAATAACCCGCATTACGAGAGGATCACCTATTCCGATTTGGCTGTCGATAATGTATCAACACCTTTTAATTTTCCAGAAAAAACTTAATAATCAATAAAATACTTCATAATGCAATCGAATAAAAGATATAATCGAAGGAGAAAGGAAACTATTTTTTTTAATGAAACGTTCTATCATAGGAAAACGGTATAGGTTCAAAGACCTCCGCAGTCAAGGTGTTAATATATATAGTCATAGTCTTAAAATATTATAAACAAATTTATATTTCAGAATAAATTTTGTTTTTTTTTAATTAAGTTAAATAGTTAATGGTTACTATACTATAGACATGACAAATATAGCCGTCAATACACAACATTCTGCCACTTATATTTATTTATTTATTTATTTATTTTATTTATACAGTACAATTGTACAATGGTACATAACTTAAATTATAGATAACATACTATATTAAATGAATATAATTTACAAAAAAACAAATGTTCACTTGAAATCTTATTCTAATTTTCACAGAATAGTTACTGAAAATTATAATTTAAATACTCATCAATAGAGTAAAAACTGCTCTTTAAAAAATGTATTGAGTAGTTTATAAAATTTCCTATTTTCAACTTCTCTAATACCTAGTGGCAGCTTATTGTAAAGCATTATGCCCGACCATCTAAGGTATTAAATGTAGAGGCAAATTTCAATGTGGGACCTTTTACAAGTTTATGTCTTGTGTCATAATAAATACATTCGGGATTTGGGCTTAAATTAAACAGGTTACCATTATTTTTTATAAAGCAGAGGGTGATTGGAGAGAAAAATGCATGGAACAGGTAGAAATCGTTGTGCTCATGGAAAAAAGGTCGACAAGATGTAGTGGACGAAAGGGAAAATATAACTCTGATTGCTTTTTCTGTAATTGAAAAAACTGATGTTAGTAGCGTGATGAAAACCCCCAAAATTGAATGCCG